ATACTGCATGAACTTCTTTGTTATTATGTTACTGAAATTTACCCATGTTCATTCCAATTGGTAAAGAGTATCCCAGTGTCTGAACACATCACACTTTATTTGTCTATTACAAATAGACATCGGAGTTGTTTCCAATTTGGGGATGTTATGAAAAGTACTGTTAATTGAGAAGCTACCTGTCAGTCTAACTGCTTCTCCTTTCAAAGAAATCTCTTTTTTCTGGCTGCTCTTAAGATTTTTCTCTTTGTCACGGGTTTCCTGCAACTTCACTCTGCAGTGTGGATCTCTATTTTATTTATCTTGGGATTCTTTGAGTTTTGAAAAGTCTGTAAAGAGGTGTCTCTCATCTCTTCCCACGCTGTCCTCCAGGAGGCTTAACTTCCCTCTTCCTTATTTTTTGTCTCTCTGAACAATATTCTGGATGATTTCTTCTGGCTCTTTTCCAGTGCATGTATTTCTCTTTTCTGCTGGTCTAACTACTATTAAATCTATCCCTCTCGTTTTTAATTATGGTTATTAAATTTTTCATTTCTAGAAATTTTGTTTGGGTCTTTTAGGCCACATTTTATAGTTTCTTCTTCTTGCAAATATTTTCAAGTTTGTCTACTTCTTTAAATACAGTAGGCATAATTGTATTAAAACCTGTCTCTGATATTTCCATTGTCTAAATTCTTCAGATCTGGTCCTGTGCCTGCTGTTTCTTAAGGTGCTTTGCTTCTTTATGTGAATATTTTCACACAGCAAAACTGCTTTTAAAAAATTGGACAGTAGGGCTCCCCTGGGTGGCGCAGTGGTTAAGAATCCGCCTGCTAATGCAGCCCTGGTCTAGGAAGATCCCACATGCCGCGGAGCAACTAAGCCCGTGCGCCACAACTACTGAGCTTGTATGCCACAACTACTGAAGCCCACATGCTCTAGGGCCCGCGTGCTGCAACTACTGAGCCCACATACTGCAACTACTGAAGCCCACGTGCCTAGAGCTCACGCTCCGCAACAAGAGAAGCCACCGCAATGAGAAGATTGCACACCGCAATGAGAAGATTGCGCGCCGCAATGAGAAGATTGCGCACTACAATGAAGAGTAGCCCCCGCTTGTCACAACTAGAGAAAGCCCGCGCACAGCAACGAAGACCCAATGCAGCCAAAAATAAATAAACTAAATAAAATTTAAAAATTGGACAATAATAATCCAATATTGACCAATGTAGCTTCAAATTCTATTAAAGCTTTACAAGGGGAAAGATGGGATAGCACTTACTGAAGTAGAATTACTATCAAAACACAAAATGCACAACATAATCTTTTAACCTCAATTCCATCTTATTTTAGTCAGGGCTGTATTACAGGAATATTTTTTATCACTATCCATGATTTGGATTCTTGTATAGGAGAACAATTTAAATATGGTGTCTGTAAAAATGTCACAGTCTCATAATAAATATGGTAGAGGCCAATCATTACTCATAAGTAGCTTTTTTTTTTTTTTTTTTGTGGTACGCAGGCCTCTCACTGTTGTGGCCTCTCCTGTTGCGGAGCACAGGCTCTGGATGCGCAGGCTCCCCGGCCGTGGCTCATGGGCATAGCCGCTCCGCGGCATGTGGGATCTTACCGGACCAGGGCGCGAACCCATGTCCCCTGCATCGGCAGGCGGACTCTCAACCACTGGGCCACCAGGGAAGCCCTGTAAGTAGCTTTTTTGAGATGTTATCAAATAGGACCTTTCCCCCTTAGTTTCAGCAGAGATCACTTTTGTTCCATGGTAATACTTCTTGGGATTCTCCACATATTCCCTCAGAGCAGACTCTCCCCAGGTGGCCTTTGCTCTCGTTGGCATCTGTGTAAGAGAATTTGGGGGCCTGACCAAACAGACCTTTCAGGTTTGGCTTGTGCTTCCCATCCTCTGACACTGTGGCACTGGGCACACTTCTCAGTAGAAATCTTCTTGCCCTTCTCGACAGTCCCTGTTTTGAAGTCAGCTCTCTAAGTTACATACGTGCTGGATAGGCTCACCCAGCAGCTGTCTTGCTCTCATTTCTAGAATTTAGTTGCTGTGGTCTAGTGAGTCTCAATCCAGGCTGTGCATGAGAAGCACCTGAGAAGTGATTTAAAGATACAGGTATCTGTGGCTCTTTTTTTAAAAATTGAGGTATAGTTGCTGTACAATATTATATCCGTTTCAGGTGTACAAGGTAGTAATTCGCAATTTTTTTTTTTTTTTTGGCCCAGCCGCAAAGCTTGTGGGATCTTAGTTCCCTGACCAAGAATTGAACCCATGTCCCCTGCAATGGAAGCGCGGAATTCCTAACCACTGGACCGCCAGAGAATTCCCAAGTAATTCACAATTGTTAAAGGTTATACTCCATATAGTTATAAAATACTGGCTATATTCCCATATAGCTTATTTATTTTATACGTAGTAGTTTGTACCTCTTAATCCTCTACCCCTGTCTTGCCCCTTCTCCCTTCCTTCTCCCCATTCGTAACCACTAAGTTTGTTCTCTGTATCTGTTTTTTGTTTTATTCACTCGTTTGTTATATTTTTTAGATTCCACATGTAAGTGATATCATATAGTATTTGTCTTTCTCTGTCTGACTTATTTCACTAAGCATATACCCTCCAAGTCCATCCATGTTGTTGCAAACGGCAAAATTTCATTCTTTTTTTGTGGCTGAGTAATATTCCATTGTGTGTGTGTGTGTGTTTGTGTGTGTGTGTATACATACACACACCACACAGATATCTGTGACTCTTGATTCAGCGGTGCACAGGGGTGCCCTTGTCATGTAACTCTGGAAAAACCCCCAGAAGATTCTCATGCTTAGCCAAGGTAAGAACCAGAGTAATAGTTCCCTCCCTGGACTAGGGGTTGGGCCCTTTAATCTGCCAGGAGCTAGGAAAGGCAGTGAGTGGAGGTATGGGGTGGGCACTAGAGAGGGCAGGTGAGAAGAGCCAAAGGCAGAGCACAGAAGTCATCAGATCTGCATTGGAAAAATACAATCAGATCCGTGGAATCATCTGGCCAGGCAGAAAAGGCTCAGAGACAGAGGGAAAAGCAAAGGGCTTAAAGGTTGTATGCTATTAGCTGTTCCCTAACCCAGTTATGTGATTTTCCATTGCCTGAAAAGTCCTCATTGGGCAGATGTCCTTTTTAATCTTGTTTTCTCTTCCAGCCTACATTTTCTTATCTCTCCCTTATCTTCAACAGCACCACTCCTTACTTCTATAAGACCTCTATTAACAGAACGAACACTGTCTAACCCATATAATCAATCCTCAGAGAAGCAGTAAAGTGTGGCACGCTCTGGCAGTTCCTCTGCTGCCTGAGATCACCAGGCAAACATGGAGAAGTGGCGGGGCTGAGTTACTAGAGCTGAGTCAGAGTGGGGAGGTTCAGGTAATGCATCAGAGGCCTTCTGCAGGTAACACTGACTCCTGCTTGTGCTTTCTTGTGGGCCTTTCCCCAGATGGCTATGGTACTTCTACCTCTGTCCTGTGGCAAACCATCTTTGACAGATGGACTTAGAAGTCTTGGTAGTTAAACAAGCTCATAAAGTCAGTAAAGACACTTTTTTTTTAATCTACTGATCAGCTTCTACGTTCATTCAAATACTCGTGAAACCTAATCTAGAAAAATGACCCCCCAAACAAATCCCTCACCTATCTTTATTATAATTTAGCTTATACGTAACCTGAATGACTACCACTTAATACACACCTTTAAGTGACAGTGACAGGCAGTTCTGCAAAGGGCTTTATGTGGACAGGGCTTTATGCCTTTCTTATCGTGCTCCACTTCATTGCACTTTGCAGATACTGTGTTTTTTAACAAATTGAAGGACTGTGGCAATCTTGTGTTGTCAGATTGTCAGCATTTTTTAGCAATAAAGTATTTTTTAATTAAGGCTTGTACATTGTGTTTTAGATATAATGCTTGCATCCTTAATAGACTACAGTATCGTATAAACATAACTTTTATATGCACTGGGAAACCAAGAAATTCGTATGACTCACTTTATTGCGATATTTGCTTCATTGCGGTGGTCTGGAACAGAACCTGCAATATCTCTGAGGTCTGCCTGTGCTATATACATATATGCATGATATATATATCACATGTTTTGTCTCATGAGAGCCTCACAACCACCCTAAGGGTGGTATTACTATCTCAGTTTTACTGGTGAAGGAGCTGAGCCTCAGGGATGCACAGCGACTGCAGGGAGAGCCCCTGCTGGAGAGGGGCAGGCATGTGGAGCACCAGGGCTGTCTGATGGGCCACGCACACTTCCTTTCACTGTTAGGGGTGGGGAGTGTGGACCTTGAGCCATGGACCCACTTCTGTCGTAACTTTGTTCTTGGCTCCTTCTGAGGTTCCTAAGTACTCAGTGAACACCGTTTCTCTCAGGACATTCCTGTACACATTTTATGGACACCCTCTTTGTATTCCAAAGTGAAGAGGAAGAGGGTGCATGTGATGGCCCAGATGCTGTCTGAGGGCTGGTGTGTCACATAGGTTGAAGCCAAAGGTGAAGCCCCACCCCGGGCCACAATGACATGGACAAAAAAATCCCACAATACCCGACAACATCTAGGCGCTCTGTTGACTCTGAGTTTGATGCACTGAGCTTGTCTGACTTCTCAGAAGGCCAAATAATTCAGATGAGGCCGAGGCTGATACGGTGAGCCAGATCTGACCACATGAACAAACGAGGTGACTTACAGTTCATGGGAGCTGCAATTCAGCAAATTCAGCTTGGCAGACGTGCCTCTCCCCGAGAGAAGTGCTGCTCACGTGCCCTCCCACCCCTTCCTGTCACCCCAATGTTTTCCTCACCGACAGGACCTGCCCACATTAGAACACAGCTTCAACAACAAACCAGAGAACTCATGTTTTTTGTTTTACCGTGAAAAGCTCCTGCCTACTTAAATTGGGTGGCGCGTGTGCAATGAACTAGCCCAGGGTTTGGAGGATTTTCAGAGAATAGAATGCACTACTTCTTACCCCTCCTTCCCCCGATTGTGGATGGCTAGTTCTTCGCCAATGCCCTCCTCCTCCTTGAAGCTCTCCCAGTCCAGCTTGGACTTCTCTAGGGTGCTCATCTTCTGCTTCTTGGCTCCTATTTTCCCCAGAAGGCTGCTCATGCCACTTGATCTTTTTAACCTAGAGAAAGCAAAAACATGAAACATGTAGCAGGTAAAAACTCTAATCTCTCGATTAATGGTTTTTCTGATTGGCACGGGCCTCCCTAGATTCAAGCGAGTTATCTTAATGGGAGCCATGTTTGCATCCAGGGTACTTCCTGTCGCTGTGGAGAGCACAGTAAGGAGACCAGAATCCTAATGCACTCCTCCTGCTCAATACCTCTGACCACTCTAACGACCTGGGGATAGGAAATCCTGAAGACCTCTGTCTGCTCTGTACGACAGACAGGTCTCTGCTTGCAAGGAGGGAGAAGTGCAGCATGATTCAGACATGGTTTTACAATCACATGCCTTGCTTCATATTCCAGCTCGAACCATGTGACTTTAGGCTAGGTATTTAACTACATCTGCCTCGGTTTCCTAATCTACAAAGTGAATGCTTACTCACAGGGCTGTAGTGTATCCTCTATATAAAGTGCTTAAAACAGCAGCTGGCACAGAGCAAAGGGGCAATAAATGTTATCCACCCTGAATCACGGTCATCATCTGTGCACTAAAGCCCCAGGGAGTCCCTTCAAGAGAAAGAGAACCAGATCCCAACACTGATGAGCAAGAGTTACAGGATCTTAAAAAGACCCTAAGATCAGTTTCCTTTCAACTCCTGTGAGTCAGGACCCTGGTTTTTCCCAGGAGGTGGAGAACATTCCTCATCCTGAAAGCAGGGAATGTACAGCCTGTGCTCTACTTGCTGGTTATGCTGTCGTGGACGGTGGGAGAAACCCCATATGTCCAAGTTCAAGTCCTGGCAGGTCAAATGTTTCTAGTCAATGTTAAATGTATGAGATAAAATAAGCAAGACAGAATGCAGCTAGTAAGAAGGTGGTACTAGGGGAAGGAAGTATGGTATGAACATGGCTTTTGGTCTCTTTAGAAAGTAAAACAAGTTATATACCAGCATACAGGAAACTAGAAGTCATTTTCTGCTTTACTGGGATATGCAAGAGGGTTAAAACATTTAAAACCTCTCTGAGCTAACATCACAAGGCCTACTGACAACATCAATACTAACACCTCTCACTTGCCTAGAAGGCTCATTACCCAAGTGTTTCATAGCCATTTCTCATCTTACTCTCCCTAGTGCCGTGAAAGAGGACCACTGAGTCTCAGAGTTGGAGGAGGAACTTCAAGATGATCTTGTGTCTCACCAACCATTCTGAAATCCCACCTTCCTGCAGCACAGGGCCAGTGAGGGGTGGCTCACTACCTCTGCCCTGGAAAGAGCCGATAGGCCAGTGTCCACACTGAACACGAGACTCCTGGTGCTGAACCATTACCCTCCACATTCTCATTAGCTTCCCTGTTGTGGTCATACCCTACTACAGGCTATCAGCTTAAGATCAACTCAGAAGAGGCTGGGCAGGCATCACTGCCCTCATTTGGAGTTGAACAAATGAAGTGCAGAGAGGTTAAATGATACAACAAAGGTCAAACCAACAGAAGATGCAGATCCAGGGCAAAACAAGGCTTTTCTGACCCTCAGTGTGGTGGACTGTGCTGTCTCACTTCTAACGTGAGAATTTACTTGAGAGATTTCCTGACGGCTATTTTATTCCCAATTTGCTTAAGGATTTTCCAAAGAGCTCTTTATGAGCTTTTGATTCATATCTTCTAATTCTTTTCCGGATAACAGTCCCTACAACAATCTCTCCATCAACACACACAGACTATATTTTACCAGGAACAGAGCATAAGTGGGGAGGCAGAAACTTAATATGGCTCAAATCTTTCCGCTTCTTACCTGCTTCACTGCTACTGTCCTGGTTCTCATTTGTATATTCTCACCTGGATGATTAAGCAGGCTCTTCACTTGTCTCCCTGACTTCTGTCTTGTCCCACCATCACTCACCTGCTCCATCCTGGCATCTATCCTACATGCTGTCTTCACCGTGAATTTTTGAAAATATGAAGCTTATCACGTCTTTCTGGTTAATGTCTCCTCCTTGACTCCTAATTACTCTTACAATAAAGTCTAAACTCCTTCGCTCGCAGAGTTCTTCCTGATCTTCTCTCGCCACATCTCCCCTTGCAACCTACACTCCAGCCACACCTGCAGTTCACCTCTCCCGGTCCCCCTCCCATTCATCTGGTCTTGCCTTAGCTTAGAAACCGCTTCCTGCAGGAGGCTTTCCCAGACCCTTCCCCCAGTCTCTGAACTAGATACCTCCTGCTGGTGTTTCTACTGCACCCCTGTTCTTTTCCCATTACAGCACTGCTCCTCTCCGTAACAGGTGCTTGAGGGCTCTACGGTCAGCTGCTGCTGCACTGGTCAGCTCTGAGGAAGCTCAGAGCCACTGCGGACAACATCTCACCAAAACCACACACCTGGAGGCTTTCCATTTCTGGCCGCAGGGTGTCCCTTGACCCTGCCTACATGCCAGAAGCACCGTGGTGGAGTGGTTGTGGCGGACAGGAGCTGGTGGCTAAATGGCCCAACCTCTTGTCCTCACATAGGCAGTCCTGGGAGGTACACTGAATGCTTCTCAGAAGTCCTGATGGCTCGTGGCCTTGGAAATGCGTGCACTCTTGTATTGGCTTTTCTGCCTTCCCTGCCTCACTTTTCCCACCCCCTCAACTCTTGCTTCTTGGGACACCTCCCCAACTAAACCACCTGCACTCAAAGCCTTACCTAAGGTTCTGCTTTGAGGGGGATCTAGCAAAGATGTTGAGGAGAAACATGACTTTCCCTTTGCAGGCTCTATATCGTGTGGATACTTAAGTTCTGGGTCTCCAAATCTCTCTCTAGCACATGGATATAGTTCTGTAAACAGTGGACACTCGATAAACTCAACAATGTCACCTGGATCACAGAACCAATTAGTGGGAGAGAATCAGATTTTTGTAGAATAAAGGTGTTCAGAACACTTCTAAATTGGGGAATTCTAAGGGGAGGAATTTCCACTTATATTTGCCAATCACCTCTCAGCAACTCAGGGTTCCCCATTTTATCTGGGCAGCACCACGGCTCTGTACACCATCTCTCCCCGACAGCCTACAGCTCTGACAGTATTACCAGAATATACCATCTTTTCAACAAGTCACTTCGAGAAGTCTATGGGAAAATGATTTTTGCCGCATAGCAGTGAAAAAGGTTCTAGAAAAGGAAAAGTCGTAATCCCCCTTTAAATGAATATCAGCAAAATTTCACCTGTGCTATTATGCTTTAGGAGAAAGCTTCTATGTCTGCTTGCATTGGATCATTAACACGGTGTATGATTTCCTAATTTGATGGCCTCAAAAGTAAAATTACCCATCTTGTATTTGAGGCTAAATCAAAGTGAACGACACATTTATAGTAGCAGCCAAAACATGCGGAGGCTCATCATCACGGAGAGACCAGCACTTGGTTCCTGGAACCTGGAATGCGGGGTCTCACACTCACTCCCCACCTTGAAATGGGGCTTTAGTGGCATAATCCTGGCATCATTCCATTGCAATTTTCAGGAAGGCAGATTTACCCTGACCTTGGACCCATCTCTGCTGTTAAAGTTCATCCATCAGGCTTTCGGGAAAGCTGAGGCAGGCAGCAAAGAGCCAGATTCTGGGCAGTGGCTGCTGGCTGTCTCTATTCTGCTGTGAAGGAAACTGCAGAGAGCGCCTCAGCCTACGGCTCCCCCTCTCAGAACTGCAGCTAGGCCAGGAGGGAGCAACTTCAGCACTGGCATCCCACAGGCATTTAGCAGGTGTGTACACTGGAAAACGGGGGAAAGGGGAAGGTCCGAATTCCCTTGGAGACCTCTCTGCTGTCAGCAGGAACCAGTGCAGTTTCAGGCATCAGAGCAACAGCAACACTGACTTCTCTTTGTTCTGGATCCTAAGCCATAATGGCAAGGGACTACCAGAAAGTCGGCTTTGACAGCCCAACCCCTCCCCCAGCTGCAGATTTTCCAGTCTTGGTTCTAAAGTGGGATGAGCTGTGTCACAGAAACCACATTCAAGAGAACCTTCACCCACCTGTTAGAGGTCAAAGTTCACAGGAAGGCACCCTGCACTTGCTCCCTCACAGACTGCATCCAGAAGGTTATACTCAGACATATCCAGACTACTGCTGCCGAGGTGTTTTCAATGTAACAGTGACATTTCAACCGCCTCCTCCTACTCTACTGATCTTACGACCGTAAGTTCGTAAGATGTGAGGACTAATCCTGTCTGAGGAGCACGGCCTTCACTCTAAGCAGCTGGCTTCCGTGCCACCAGAGAGTACGGCTGAGTGCACAACACACTTGTGAAAGAGCCTCTTACTAAGCCTTTTTTCTTGTGCTTTCTGTCCTGTTCTCCATCAATCAGCAATTATCCCAATTCCCTTCCCACTGTACCAAGCCCGATGACGTGTCCCAACACCAGACACCAACCAAGACCTCACAAAAAAATATTCAGAACCTCAGAAGAGTAAAAGGGACAAAAAGGGCAAAATGACCATTGTCTTTTTCCTTGCTGAATTCAAAGTTTACAATGATAATTTGCTAGAAATTATGCTGCCTTTTAGCCCCCAGAATGGAAGTTTAACAAAATTCACTGCAACTAAATGATAAACTCCATCCTGTTGAGTCTATTATAAAGATATTAAAGTAACATGTTTTCTTTGCTCCAGTCCCATGAGCATGGACACAGAGTCACTCAAATGATTTGTTTCGTAGCAAAAGCACTGCTTTATCTGGCCATGCTCAGTGATGCTCTGGATCCTGCTGTTTATTTATGAGAGGTACTGGAAAGGAGCTGGGAAAATAACTTCTTAAACAGAAACAGAAAGGATGAGAGGACACAACAACTGGTTGTGAAGAAAAGGTGGGAACATCTTTCCCATAATCTTTAAAATCAGCCTCAGGCACCCAGCTGTCTCACAGAACAGAATTTGAGGTTTGGGAATGAATTTAGAGTCATTCGTTCATTGGACTCATCCAACAAAGATTAATCAGAAATTACTGTACACCAGACAATGTGCTTGGAACTGGGGATACAAAA